CAAAAATATTCCGGAACGCATGACAATTTATACTACTCTTCTGGGCGTTATAAATATAAAAAATGAAAACTTTTGTGCACAGGTTCTTTTTTTGCGTCTTTTATCCTTTAAGTTTGTCGACTATTTAGTAAGAGAATTTAAGGAAGCTCTAAAGTCGGGAAACTTTGATGATACCAAATATATGGTTTGATTCCTTCGCCATTACCTTTTATGTGGATATAGATGCGCTTTCTTTCTGATCTTTCCAACTGTGGGGTTATTGACCCTGGATATTTGCTTAATATGTTTGAAAATTTTGCTGAAGTGACGATAGATACATGCGCTACCTCTCAAGCAAGAAATGACTGGTATGCTTACTTAGTTCTCTATGGCCTGGCATATGTAAGTAAAATTCTCATATAAAATTCCATTAGTGTGCGAAGTCATTAGCTTCTCATGACATATCTTCATTAAATAGCATTTTGGGTACAATTGAAGTCTATCTTGCGTGAGTAGAACAAGGACATTTTTTTCATTTGTTTTAAGTGATAATATATCTTATCCTTTATAGACGCCGGCAGAAAGCCCATGTTTCCCTCTTACGTGTCTGGGATAGTGACGATCCGCATCCCCAGGAGGATGTACGTTTTAACTTTTTTACTTTGGCCTAAAATTAATATTAATTCAATTATCTTTTCAGTATTTAGATTGCCTTTGGGCTCAAATTATGTATTTACGATCCTCAGGATGGAGAGAAAAGGTGGTCTGGCGCATGCATGATGCACTTCCTTTACTCAATGAAACTGGCACTGTTCACAAGTTTGCCCCGGTAGAAATCTTTTTCTTATCATAAAGCATTACTTCAGAATTTTACCGAGATATTTCTTTTTTTGAAAAATATATTTTAATAGATAACTCCTCCTGATTATGACTCGGATCTCATTTATCCTCTGCCTAGCGTGGTATTCCGCATGTTTGACTATACTGATGTAATGAACCTCGACGACGATGAAGACGTCGAAGGGACTTTAGCTAATGTCAAGTCTACTCCGATTCTTCCAGGAGCTCATACAATTGAGCGGTTTTTAATTGATGAAGAGCTGTCCATTTTGATGGAAACTCTTAACTTTAATCGTGTCATGTGGTGGGTCCCTTATTTATTTATTTTAATATAA